ACCCTTATGGATGCCAAACCAGTCCAAGTAGACCTCGTTGATCCTAACACAAGCACTAGAAAGAGACTTCAATGCCTGTATCAACCCAGCGTTCAACCCAAAAGACTTCAGTGTTTGCCATAACACATCCCTGTCCACTCTATCATAAGCCTTTTACAAGTCCATGAATGCACAAAAAACTCTCTGGTTTTTGGCCAAAAACTTCTCCGCGATCATGCGCATGGAAAAGACTTGATCTATATATCCCATTCCCTTTCGAAATCCCGCTTGCACATCCCAAATTATTCCATCAGTTTCTTTCATGAACCTTTCAATTGGTATCTTAGCATACAGTTTTCCCACAATACTAAGAAGGCTAGTTCTTCATACAATCCTAGCAGATATCACCACACGCATGCCTCCTCACATTAAGGGTGATAAACGAGAAAGAGAAAATTTAAGGCTTAAATAGACCGTATGTCTATTTAAGCCTTAAATTTTACTGAGATCCATAAGCACCTAAGTACATTTAACCGTGTCCAACAATGAAAATGCAGATGCGCTGTTGCTCTCAAGGAAAAATGAAAAGAATTGATAATTATAAGGCAATAAATATTGTTTAATAATTTCATTATCTTTGATCTGCTCTCACGGGTTAGGCATTAATGGTAAATTTTGGAATTTTTCATGATCATATTACACTATGTATAAAAAAGAATTAATAAAACTATTCTAGACAGAAAATATTAAGTTTGGTCTAAACGGTCTTCTGTTCTCGCCACTCATCATACGAAATAAAGCATAATATGTTGCTATTTCACGCTGGTATTATGTAGATCATTCGCTTGTTTGTCACTCCAATATAAACTACTGTAGCCTCCACGCGACGAAACTGATACACGCGAATATAATAACAACACACACACACAATAAAATTAACAACGTCATTTCTTGGATAAACTTTGATTCCGGCCGGGGTTCTAAGTCAGGACCCAAGAGGGATCCTCTACTGCGTCATAGTAGTTTGTCCGATGCCATCTCCCTTAATATTTCAGTATTTTAGGTTAAACTCTCTGTCGGAAGCTATATTGATTTTCCCATCACTTACTCTAATCGACTCTTATCACTCTCAGATGAAACAATGAAGAGATATATTACGGGATAACATTTATTATTTATATTTATTCATGACAACTGAAGTATAGAATAAACTCAGCTATATCTAGAGAATTTTAATTCATGTTATGACATTGACGGTCTAAAGTCCCCGTCGTATTATGCAGAGAAAATTTCATTTCGACATGGAAATAGCATTGTAAAATGGAAACCATTAGCTTAGCTTATTGAGTCTTAGTATTTTAAATCTCCAAGTCTGCTGAATACAAAATTATAAACGCAGTAAGAATATTTTAGAAGTATAGAACTGAAGCAAATAAAATATTAACTTTGAAAATATGCTTTATAACTACAGCTTACCAGACAATAGTACCTTTTCCTCGTAGGAGTCGGAACAAAACAGGAAGCATAGGAACCAGAAATAGGATAATCGGAATAGAAACCATTATCTTGCCTATTTCTGGCGCCAAATCACAGTGCTTGCGCTTCTGTCGGTCGGAAGGGTAAAGACAGCCAGGATTATTTCAGGCTGTCAGGCTTTTCACCTTAGTCCTCAGAGTTGACTAAGCATCTGTGAGCTTCTTTGTTGGATAATGTGGGCTGTAGCAGCCACTTACCATAAGGTGGATTGTGTATTCCTTACATCCAGTGAAAGATTACTGCTGAAAATAGGCCTACACCATAGGTTGCCATATTAAGGGGATTAACCACGCTTGGCAGACACAGTTTTTTATTATTTTCGTTTGTTATCACTAAAATGATTCTACCTGCCTTCTGTTTCAGTTTTACTCTGTCGCCTTTTATGTCACCCGCAGAATATGGAGTTCTCTTTCGCCAGCAGCCAGCTCTACACGTGAAGACTATTTTATAGAATGAGAGTGACAAACGAGCACGCAGTCCACCTGATGGTAAGTGGATACTATGGAGAATAGACTTCTAAATCTACCCTCGATTAAGAATTAAAATAATTGATAGAATTAGGCGTTACTTTGCGGAAATCCATTATAATAAAGATAATTAATTTGCAACCATCCGCTAATTAAATACAATGATGTGTTTTACCCGGATTGAAGAGCACCTCCCGCCCTCCCTCAATTGCGTGCACCAATCCCGTCACCACTAACCCAGCACAACTACTCCCAACACCACTATTCCAGGAAAGACACAGCATCGACGATAATACGACACGTGTTTCCGCTTTAGCGGTCAGCCACCGTAGAGTCTACATCACCTGAGGATGCTTCGTGTACAGGCGAAACATGTGTCGTATTATTGTGTAATAGTGGTGTTGGGAGTAGTGGTGCTGGGACTGCGTACTCGTTTGTCACCCTCATTCTATAAAATATACCTTTAGGATCTATTTAATATTGTCTTTTCTTACAACAAGTGTGTTTTTCTTACTCCGCCAAGACACGGTGTTAGTTATTATTTTACAATGTTTAAAAATTTTAAAAAATTGTACAAAAAGGGTATTATATCAAGAAGTACATAAATGAAAATAACCCCAGTGAATGAGGTTATCTCTACCATACCGGTTATATTATAATTAATATTCATATACACATTGTAAAAATAATGTTGTGAAGTTAAGCTGAGAACAAATTATCGGACGCGTCCGTCAGCCGCGGCTGACAGACGCGCCTTAGCGGTGTGCACGGTAGCTGAGACGGCGTCCTCAGACGCCTCGCTTCGGTTTGTCAATCGAGAAAGATGACAAACAGTGACAGCGAGGACGAATTTATAAAGTTAGCGGCAGCTGCTTTATGTCGTCCTCAGAAAAAAAGCGGACCCAAACACTCCTTGTCCATGATATTAATGTAAAACGACTCGAAGATGATAAACGTTACAAAATGTACTTAAGAATAAATACATTTATAGTGCTGCAGTTTGTGGTTATATAGGCATTCGTGGCCACGAACACATTCAATTAATTTTTCTTCATCACACATCATGTCGCGAGCGCAGTTGGTTCGCTTGTGACACTCGAAACGTCCGCGGACGCGTCCCGTGCCCCGTTCACACTGTCCGTGGACGCACAAACATCCAGCCGGCTAGATTCTGTTCGGTCGTCCAAACGCTCAAGAGCAACGCAAGGTCATGTCCGATAGTTTGCACAGTGTAGTATTAAATGTACTGGCTAGATTTCAATAAGCCGATAATTTGTTCTCAGCTTTATTCATGACTATAAAAATATAATCCCGCTGTTATATAGCACGGTAATTTACTGTGATAGAGGTATTTTCCGAACCAGTGCTAAATAAAAAACAACCATTAATATGCACGTATCATTAATATGTATATAATGTCATAATCTACATATATTAGTTAAAAAATCTATTATATATACGAGTATATAATATAAATAATCGTCTGGGAGGCTGTTTGTGTTAATTTAAAGTGACTTGACCAAATGAGATCGTATTCAAACAATATGTTTGTTTTGTTGAGACGATAGTTCATAGCAAGGATTCGATAGTTGTGTTTGTAATTAATTTTCATTTTTACATTTATGTAACGATTTCTTATATTTACGCGAACACTACACATTGATTAAAACTACTTTTACGGGTTTTATCGCGTTTAAACAAAATGAACTGACTATGTCTTGAGGTCTTGCAGTGGTATGCTTGGGTTTAGTTTTAATTTTATTGATTATAGGGTCCCAGGTGCAAAGCAGGTGGTAGTACTCAGCCTCCTTCTCTATTGAAATTAGGATGTTTTTAATTTTAATAGCCTCACGTATCATCCTTGGTAGGAATCGGTGTTCTTTCGCGAGGATTTGTGGTCTATCAAATCTGATGTAATGGTTGGGGCCATCTAGAATATGATCACAAACTGCAGACATCAACACATTACATGACAGAATGAAGCATCAACGTGCCGGGAAGTCTGCAGTTTGTGATCATATCCTAGATCCTACCAAGGATGATACGTGAGGCTATTGAAATTTTTTTTTATAGGATAGGGTGACAAACGAGCACACAGTCCACCTGATGGTAAGTGGTTGCTGCGGCCCATAGACATCTACATCTATCTTCCATTACAAATCAAAATGCAGATGCGTTGTCACCCGTGAGGACTGAGATGGAATGCCTCATTTCCAGTAAAAAGGGTCTCCGGTTCTCTACACTCACCATACGAAATACAGCAGCATTAAGCTACTATTTCACGCTGGTATTCTGTGAGAGCGTGGTCCTTCCCCGGTCGAGCCGACCCATTCGTGCTACAACTATTCTACTAATATAATTGCAGCATGGCACTACCACATAAAAAACATCTTCATTAAAAGCATCCTAATTTCAATAGAGAAGGAGGCTGGGTACTACCACCTGCTTGGGACCCTATAATCAATAAAATTAAAACTAAACCCAAGCATACCACTGCAAGACCTCAAGACACAGTCAGTTCATTTTGCATAGATCGGACCATAAACAACAATTAAAAAAGCTGAAGGTACTCCGGGTTTAACAATGACATCGGGACGTCAGTCACCTCAGTCCCCCGTGATAATGGGTGTTGGAAAGCCACCGAAACGTCGGGAATTGAAAATAAAATTAATTAAAATTAAAATTAAACGCAATAAAATCCGTAAAAGTAGTTTTAATCAATTTACATTTATAATTTAAAAAGTTGGGAGTGAATTCGGAGTGACACTCTTTGTGCCATCTACTAAAAGCTGTTAAACAATGTCTGCTGGGATAGCTAATTACCTGAACATATATACACACATATATATATATACAGGTTACAGGTTTAGAAAGAAATTTTAGATACCATTTACCATCACTTATAAATTATACAATCATTATAGCCCCAAATGTATATGCATGTAGTTCACTACTCAGATAACAGTGAAGTTTATAAATTTGAGGTAAAACAAATTAAAGACATAAAGTAAAAGTATCATGAAGTCTATTCTATTGGCGGTGGTGACTTTCATTTGCATAAAATCCGGCGCTGCCGATGAAACAATAACTGAGGGCACCGAACTCGTATTAACCTTCTTGGTAAGTCAATTCAATCAATATTACTCTATAATGCTATCGCAAAATAGACCTGTTTATTCAAAGAAGATTGTATCCATTATAAAACTAATTTTAAGAATTTTATCGCGTTTAATTTGAATTCTTTTAATTCTAAACGTTTCTGGCACTTCACAGGGTCACGGTGGGGGGAGGACCGCGGTGTTTGACGTTCTGATGTCATAGTTAACGAAGGTCACCTTCAACTCTATGACCTGCCTACGTTTGTTCAAAACTATGAGATTATGATATTAAACACCTCAGTGTCCGTAAAGACGGGAATTAAAAAAGATAAACATTATCTTATTTTATGTTAACAGAACCTTTAATCAATATTTTTAAACATTACTGATTTTAATTTTTTGCAATGCTAGACACTCGTGTGAGTTGACAAACTCATTTCTACACGACTCTCGAGATCCTATAGGAGGCTCTTGCCATCCCTTTCTAATATTTATACTTATCCTTTTCGGACATATACACCATTTCACTCAACTTCTTACCTATTATAACCTTCTTATCTATTATTGATACATCTTATTAGGTATTATAATCCATAAAATGTAAGAAATCACTATCCTGTTTCGTTTCCCATAGTCGCCATTTACGACACCCACGGATCTAAATCATTATCATCATTACAGCCATTCACAAGTCCACTGCTGAATATAGGCCTCCCCCAAGGAATGCCACAAAGCACGGTCCTGAGCCACCTGCATCTATCGACTTCCTGCATGTCTTACCAGGTCGTCACTCCATCTAGTGGGGTGTCGCCCTACACTTCGCCTACCGGTACGAGGCTAAACTCGCCACAATTTCATTGTCTGCCTGTTACTGTTACAGCATATTAAAGTCCACTGCTGAACAAGGGCCTCCCCGTAAAGATTATCTCATAGGGATATTTGGCATAGTTGCCACGCTTGGCAAGCGAGTTGGCAAACCGCAATTTTTATTTTTAGGAAAAAGCTGCTGCCCTTCTGTTTTGTTTCCCTCTGTCGCCTTGTTATTTAAAACACAAATACGGTTATTATATAGTTATAGTTATTTGAAATTTATAGGCAATTTATGGGGGGTGCCTATATTTAGCAGTGAACTTTTGTGGGCCGAAATGGTTGGTTTGATAGAAATGGATGTGTCGTGTGTCAATACCACTAACCCAACACGACTTATGCCTCTATTATTGGAAATAAGTACAAATAAGATGAAAATTATTCTAAAACAAAACTATAGTGTCCTTGTGTTTATTTATTTATTTTTTATTGCATTCCTTACAATAAAAGGGACTGAATTATTGCGGAGGTATTCTCTACCAGTCAATCCATGGATTATTTTGGCGCAGGTGTAGCAATATAGATTAAAAACAAAGTAAAAATTATAGTTATCAAAGTAAGCAATGTATTATCGTTATACAAATTACACAGAAAATATTACTTTTGCAAACACATCTATAAGTACGGTTTCGATAAATCTATAATATGTCAAGTCATCATTGATTTATATATTACTAGCGTATATTTATAGTTATAATCGATACTTCACAGGTCCATAGGCATGGAGACAGGACCCCGGTTAAATCCACGATGGGATTAAGTGACAATCCAGAAGCTTTAGAAGAACTAATACGCCCTTACGGATATGGACAGCTAACAAATGTAAGAATTATGCAAAATTAAATTTATGCTGCGAACTCTTTCTTGCCCTAAATAAGTCCACTTATTATTTTTGACTTGAGAGCTGACTCTACTTCTGATATACTTCTAAGGGTGACAAACAAGCACACAATCAAACTGATGTAAATAAATAAGCTGTAATAATTATGTATGCATATGTATGTATGTATTTATATGTGTACGTGTACATGCAACATTCATCTTAATATATATAAATTACGTGTCACGTTGTTTGTCCGCGATGGACTCTTAAACTACTTAATCGAATTTACTCAAATTCGCACACCGTGTGTAGTTTCACCCAACTTGAGAGATAGGATAGTTTTCTGCCCATGAGTGACCCACAATTTTTTTTGATAATTTAAGGATTTTTAATAGGACGTGACAAAGGGTCGTCGCAAAGGGCAGAACAACGTCTGCCTGGCGCAAGCTATACAATATATAGCAAGTTACGCGCTAAAATCGGCGCACTAGCGCCATCTAGTCTCGAACCAAAGAACTAAACTTCTTGAAGTTTAAAACTCGAACTCTCGGTACCTTGCGCGTGTTTACTTGAACATTCTGGATATTTTGCTAATTTATATAAGTAGGCGCTGCAAGATGCCATCGGGCAGGTTGATTTGGCGAAACAAGCGAAGCTTCGGAGCGGAATAAAGTGAATAAGTGTGTTTAATTATTAGTGTTTTTAACTTTAATTTGTATAAAGTAAATTAAAGTGTTAATTTAGGTAATTTTATCGGCAATTTTTATTGTCACGAACCTCAAGCTCGTAACAATTGGTGTCAGAAGTGGGATAAAATCATGCTGATTTTACCTAAGGAGGAAACGGAGGGTGTCCGTACCCGAAGTCAACGCCAGCAGGAGACGGACCAACGGAGATTTGGTGGTGCAACGCCTCAGACGTCGGAGGGCCAGCCACCAGCTGCAGGCCCGTCGGTAGCTCCTACATCTGCAGCACCTGACTTAGGTGCTCTGATGGTGATGCTGGAGGAACAGGCCCGTTGGTTAAAAGAGCAGCAGGAGGTACAGGCTCGCCGACAGGAGGAACAGGCTCGCCAGCAGGCGGAACAGGCTCGCCAGCAGGCGGAACAGGCACGCCGATTGGAAGAGCAGCTGCGGGGCGGACAAGAGGAATAGGCCCGTCGGTTGGAAGAGCAGATGCTCCTCATGAAGGACCTTCACGCTACCTTCGGGAAGGAGATAAAGGAGGTGAAGGATAGGGTTGCACAGTATGACAACCGCCTGTCGGAAGCTGAAACCCAAATCGCGAAAGCTGAAAACCGAATCGAGAAAGCTGAAACCCGAATCGACCAAGTAAACAATCGGGTTGACAACGTAATGGCGGACATGAAGAAATCACTAGACGAACTCAAACTTGGGGATGGAACTACAGCTCCCGTACTAGCTACAGCACCTTCGCTACGTGGATTCAAAGTGCCGCCGTTCGACGTGACTTCTTCCTGGTCGGCCTACAAAATCCAGTTCGAGGCTGTTATGAAGGCGAACGGCTGGAATAAAAGTCAGGCCATGACTGCTTTCACACTAGGCCTGCGCGACCAGGCCTTAACAATTCTGGAAGCTCTTGGTGAGGAAGTGACTTATGAGCAACTCCTTGAGGCATTGGAGGCGAGGTATGGCGACGCTCACCTGGAACACGTCTTTCGTGCGCAGCTTAAAGATCGTGTACAGCGCATCAACGAAAACCTGCAGCAGTGGGCTCTAGAAGTGGAGAAGCTGGTGCGAAAAGCATACCGGTCTGTACCTGCGCTCATTGAAGGGAACCTGGTGCAGACATTCATCGACGGCATCCGCGACCTGGAAGTCAGAGCTGCTGTGAGGCTCGGGCACCACGAGACGCTTAAGGACGCCTTGGCCCATGCACTGGAAGTGGAAGCCGTGCGGCAGGACCATCGTTCCCATCGCGTCAGGGAGGTTGCAGCAGCTACAGTTCGCGACCGCAACAAAGGATACAGCCCAAGGTGCTATGGCTGTGGGGAAAAGGGCCATCTTCGATCCAGCTGCCCTAAGAGAACCCTAGAAAGGGAAATTGAACGATCTCAGGAGGGTAGTGCGGCCAACAGCACCGCCCAGCAGCAGCAGGGAAACGAGTAAAAGCCAGAACTGCGGGGCGGGTGCTGGCTGATGTTAAAAGAGCCCCAAGGATCTCGATCTCACAAACCCATGATGGGAACAGCCTAATCATAAAGGGCGAGATCAACGGAATGCCGTGTAAGCTGACCATAGACACTGGAGCCTCTCGTACGGTTGTTAGTTCCCAACTTATAAGTCAGTTCCTTGGGGACTCCGCATACAACCGAGAACGCATTAATTTGGTAACAGCCACCGGTCAGCGTATACCCGTCCGTGGAGAGAAGGAGATGGAGTTGAAGCTAGGCAACGTGATCTACCTGCATAATGTCATCGTGGCTGATATAATGGACGACTGCATCCTAGGCTTAGACTTTATGAGGAATAATTGTTGCGAGATCGACGTTAAGCAAGGTGTTTTGAAATGTGGACAGGAGGAACTTTTTATGGAAGGTGCGTTACCAGGGAACGTGTACAGCATCAAGAAGATTGTTCTTCCGCCGAGATCGGAAACGATTGTTCCGGTTAGTCTTCCTCGAAACGCTGGGCAAGCTCACCGTTGTGTACTTGTGGAAAGGGTAAACAATAACCTTCCATGGAAAGTAGCTCGAACCTTGGTCAGGACCACTGACATCTCAGGAGTACGTGTGCTGAACCTTTGCGACCGGGAACAGATTATAGAAAAAGGTACACTGGTTGGTACTTGTGAGGAAGTGGATTGGTTACGTCAGTGCCAATATATATCGAGTGGGACCCCCAGCAAGGATTCAGAAACGAGAGTGACCACACTTTTGGAAGACTGTCGCAGTGTTCTGTCCCCGAACGAATTGGTCAAGGCGAAGAAGTTGTTACTCGAGTACGCCGATGTATTCTCATCAAACGATGCTGACATAGGAAAGACTGGTTTAGTTCAACACAAAATAAACACAGGTGAAGAGTTGCCTATCCGTCAGCGGCCAAGACGATTGCCGGTAGCACGTGAAAAGGAAGTGGAAACCATGATTGAGGGAATGGTGAGGGATGGTGTTATTGAACCTTCATCTAGTCCATGGTGTTCACTCGTGGTACTGGTAAAGAAGAAGGATGGTAGCTTGTGGTTTTGTGTTGATTACCGCCGTCTAAACGACGTTACTAAGAAGGATAGCTATCCCTTGCCGAGAATTGACGACACGCTGGACATGCTTACAGGAGTAAAGTGGTTTAGCACGCTGGACCTAAAAAGTGGCTACTGGCAAGTTGAAATTGACCCTAAGGACAAGGGGAAAACTGCGTTCTCGACGGGAAAGGGTCTGTGGCAATTTAAAGTAATGCCGTTTGGGTTGTGCAATGCTCCAGCAACGTTTGAAAGGCTGATGGAACTTGTACTTACCGGGCTAATTGGCGATGCCTGTCTGGTTTACTTGGATGACATCATCATCGTGGGCCGTACGTGTGAGGAACACCTTCAAAACCTTGAATGCGTGCTCATGAAGATTAAGAGTGCCAACCTCAAGTTGAGTCCGAAGAAATGTTCACTATTCAAACGGCAAGTCAACTTTTTGGGGTATGTAGTGTCGGAAGAAGGTATCCGCACGGATCCAGAGAAAATCGCAGCTGTAAAGGATTGGCCGGTTCCAAAAGACAAGACGCAGGTTAGAGCATTTTTGGGTTTGTGCTCCTATTACCGACGTTTTGTGAAGAACTTTGCAGATATAGCCAAACCTCTGCATAAGCTAACCGAGGAGAAGCGACATTTCCGCTGGGATGAAAGTTGTAACATCGCATTCCAGGAGCTCAAGGACCGTCTGTGCAAAACACCTATTTTGGGATACCCTGATGCAAGCAAAGAATTTATAGTTGACACAGACGCAAGTGATATAGGACTTGACGGTGTGTTGTCTCAACGTAATGGTGACCAAGAGGTCGTGATCAAAACCAGCAAGCCGTTGTCAAAACCGGAAAGGAACTACTGTGTTACAAGACGCGAATTGCTAGCTGTGGTAAAGTCGTTGCAACATTTTAGCAAATATCTTCTGGGACGAAAATTTCACTTACGAACTGACCATGCTGCACTAAAATGGCTATTGCAGTTTAAAAACCCAGAAGGACAAGTTGCGAGGTGGATTGAACTACTGCAGGAATACGACTTTGAGATCGAACATCGCAGCGGGAAATCTCATGGCAACGCAGATGCATTGTCAAGAAGACCTTGTCCTGAAGATTGCAAACATTGTACTAGGCAAGAGAGTAAGGAAGTGGTATCCGTGAGGATGCTCAGGGCAGACCACCTCAGCAACGAGTGGAAGGACAGCTTACTACATGCACAGCAGGAAGATCCGGACATCAAGCCGATTCTGGAATGGATAAAGGCCAGTGCTCCCAAGCCCAAGTGGAGTGACGTCTCAGCGATGAGTTCGATCACTAAAAGCTATTGGGCCCAGTGGGACAGCTTGCTGCTTCAGGATGGAGTTCTGTGTCGTAAATGGGAAAACGTTCGGGGAGACAGCTGTCATTTGCAAATGGTTGTCCCTAAAGTTAAAGTACCGGATGTTCTACAGCTGTACCATAATGATTGTTCAGGAGGCCATCTGGGAGTTAAACGAACTCTACTGAAGATCCGAGAACGGTTTTACTGGGTCCACTGTCGTAACGATGTCGAGGATTGGTGTCGCAAATGTACAAGTTGTGCTGTAAAGGGACCTCAGACTCGTAGTAGAGGTGCATTGAAGTTGTACAATGTTGGTGCACCATGGGAGAGAATAGCCATTGACGTGGCGGGGCCGTTTCCGGAGAGTGAAAGCGGTAACAGGTATTTCATGGTTGTGATGGATTACTTCACTAAGTGGCCAGAAGTCTTCGCCATTCCAAATCAAGAAGCTTCAACAGTTGCTGATATGCTAGTTTATGAAGTCTTCTGTCGTTTTGGTGTACCTTTAGAGATTCACAGCGATCAAGGAAGGAATTTTGAGTCTCAAATATTCCAGGAAACTTGCCGAGTTATGGGTACTCATAAAACAAGAACGACTTCTTATCACCCGCAATCTGATGGAATGGTAGAACGATTTAATCAGACATTGGAGAGGTACCTAGCAAAAGTTGTAGACAATCGGCAACGAGATTGGGACAAGCACATACAACCGTTTTTGTTGTCATATCGAAGCGCTGTTCACGAAAGTACAGCGGTGACACCAGCTTTCGCAAACTTTGGAAGAGAATTACGGCTGCCTGCAGACCTGATCACCGGGATACCACCTGATGCTCCACGCAGTATAACCGATTATGCAAATGACTTGCGGAACAAAATGAATGACGTTTATGAGCACGTCAGACAATCGGGCCAGCAAATGTCTGAAAAGATGAAAACCCGGTATGACCGCAAAATGAACAACAAAGGGTTCGACGAAGGTTCACTTGTGTGGTTGCACAATCCAGTCCGCAGCAAAGGGAAATCTCCTAAGCTTCAAGCTAAATGGGACGGCCCGTACCGGATTGTGACCAGGATCAACGATGTAACCTACCGGATACAGAAAGGCGCAAGAGGGACTCCTAAGATCGTCCATGTGGATCGCCTAGCGCGTTATTATGGGACCGATAATGCTCGGGACGAGCATGTCTTAGGAGGGGGCAGTGTTACGCGCTAAAATCGGCGCACCAGCGCCATCTAGTCTCGAACCAAAGAACTAAACTTCTTGAAGTTTAAAACTCGAACTCTCGGTACCTTGCGCGTGTTTACTTGAACATTCTGGATATTTTGCTAATTTATATAAGTAGGCGCTGCAAGATGCCATCGGGCAGGTTGATTTGGCGAAACAAGCGAAGCTTCGGAGCGGAATAAAGTGAATAAGTGTGTTTAATTATTAGTGTTTTTAACTTTAATTTGTGTAAAGTAAATTAAAGTGTTAATTTAGGTAATTTTATCGGCAATTTTTATTGTCACGAACCTCAAGCTCGTAACATTATATATATATAAATGATGCCGTTGTCCTTTAAATCACTGATTAATGTTATATTAATACAGTTAGGTATTGGTGTGATATTAGCGGTAGTATAATATATGTATTGAGCTATGTATTTATTTTTTCTTTCCTTTATTTTTTGCATGTAAGGAAGTAAGAGAGCATTGTTTTTTAGGTTTCACGACTTTTAAAACTGTACCGTCGAACGGAGTAATATGAAAATTTGAATAGATAAAACGGAATCGGAGGAAACTGTGCCGATAATCGTAACATGTGAGCCAAGCGCTCAGTTTTCTATTTCTCATACAAGTGTTTTACTTTCCGATTATTGGCGTTATAGTAACACAGCAAAAACGACTTATCACTATTGAGTCTTGAAAAATTATGCCAGTTTCTTGTAAACTTCTTTAATTCCTTTAATAGGTTTACATGAGAATGAGCTTCTCTTTTCATTAGCCAAACTTTACACCAGGTCCTAAGATTTTCCATCTCCTGATATTTTTCTGCCTCTTGTTTTTCTTTTATTAACACTAATATAACAATACTTAATGTGTCGTTTGTCGATGCCGTCGCGAAAGGTAAATTAATAAACTGCGCAGTTTTACTTGAACGTGTGTTAAGGACATACAATTTATCTTTACAATTCGACTGCACAGTTATATCGCATTGATAAAACTACAAAGACCAAAGGTGTTTGGCCCCATAAATCGCATAAAACCGGTCGAATCATTTAATAGACTTCAAATGTCACGATAAATGTTACTTAAAAGGAAAAATTGTTGCCTTTTCGCAGCTTTGGAATACCTTGTTACCAGCAAATAGTTAAAAGGGTCTTCCGGTTTTAAATACCCATATGCAACATTGGTGAGCATTATGCATGGTCTTTTCCCGCTTCGAATGTTACGCTTCGGTGTGATTTTACCACATAGAAAAACAACTTAAATAACCTTGACCCTTTTACTCGTAACGAGGCATTCTCTCTTAGTCCTATTTGTGACAACGGTTCTACTTTTTAATCCTTAATCGAGGAAAAATGTAGATGTCTATAAGATGGAATGTATTTTTTGTATACTGGATAACCATTTTTAGCGACTGGAAAAAATAGGGTGTAACATTTGAATGGAGTAGAAGCCTATGGCACTGATATTTTACAAAAACACTTTTATGTTTGCTATTTTACCCCGGTATTCTGTGAGAGTGTGGTCTCAACCCGGTCGAGCCGACCCATTCCTGCTAAAACCATAATATAGCTGTAGCGTGGCTCTACCACGTAAAAAGTGTTTTATAAGAGAATGCAAATTCTTTAGGAAAACCAAATAACATTGAACTCCAAGCAATATATTGTCAGAGGTCATCACAATATGGATTCAGGCTTAAAACTTATGATGTTCAGTACCTATAAAATAAATTAAGACCTACATCACGTTAAAAGTTTTTCATTCTTTAAGTATATAAGGATTGTAAGCTAAACTACTGTTAGACCGGTCATGTGTGAGATGCTTTGGTTGAATTAGCACGATTCACTAACACTCTCATACTTATTCCATTGTGAACGAAGGTGTGCTCGTTTGTCGCACTTATTCTTAAAAAAAATGCGTCAAGGACATGTTAAGTTCGCTAACACGCATTTAGCTACAACGGACTTTCATCTGCTTCCAAAATATTTCGGAAATAACAGTGTAGTATTCTTCAAAAGGTCGGAAAACGCCGAAGTTTCGAGATGGGTAAATTTATTCGCCATCGATATGGTGATCTTATATCCTCGCAGTACAACTCCTCCGAACTCTATTTGCGGTCAACGGACTCCACTCGTGCTAAAATGACGGCGTTGGTAGCTATGGCTGCTGTCTACCCCGCAAAGGGTCAAGAATGGATGGAGGATATAAACTGGGTGCCTGTACCTTATACAACTTTACCAGCGAAATATGATTATGTAAGTAATTTTCCCTACAAAAAGTTTCCTTCTGTATCGATAAGGCAGTTTACATACATCATTTGCACAAGGACAAACATCGAGGCCCAGAACAATTATTTGTCATACAAATACTTATTCCGTGGGGGATTCGAATCTGCGACCGCTGCTGTGCCATGGAGCGTTCATGCCGTTTTTGCAATTAAGCTATACAATAAAAGATAAATTGTCATCTTACTTCTAAACATTTATATAAAATGATAATGTCTGTCTGTGGTACCATAACAACTGGCTTCTTTCAAGTTCAGTGGATTTATTTGTACGCTATTAAGATATGAATAACCATTTTTTTAATTTTTGTCTGTCCGTCTATTTGTCCAAGCTAATCTTCGTAATGAACCGATTGTGATAAAGCTTGACGGACAGATAAAGAGCAATGCCAAGAGGGAGGTAGGCTATATTTTAACCGAAACATATGCAGTTTTTTAATTTTAGAAATTGATAAAATTAATAGTTTTATGTATATGTCATAAAAATACGATATATAAAGAAAAAAATTAAGAAAAACTTCCTTGTTTTATACAAAAACGTCCTAACATTTTTCTGTCTCAAAGTTTGAATATTAAATTGATTTTATAAATTGTTTGTGATAAGCGTAATAAAGAGAGGGTTGTGCTCTCATTTTTTACACCTTATTTATCCGCATATGTGTGTGATTGCCTCATTGGTCCAGTCGAGTCGTAAACGCGATAGTTTATCATGAAATCCCGGGTTCAAATCGAGGATCGAGCTAAAAACAGTTATGGAGTTTTTCAGTCAAGAAATTACCACTAACAGGTCGAAGTTAGGAAGTTGGCGGTGTTTTACCCCCATGCTTAGGAAAACATGTGACATCGCTCCGATATTTTGGATTACCGTCCCATCGCACTATGAGAGTGATCGAATTTAGAGTAATCCTGCGAAGATGGCTAGCCTTCTTTGAAACTTACCACCGTAAAAGAAATTCGGTCTGGAGGGGATTTGTATTTGTATTTATAGTCTTTATAATAAGTCTTGATAATAATCAAAATGGTCCAAATTTTTCGTATCTCACTTCAAAGAAGTAAATAACTTATTAAGTACCTACAGTTAGTACAAATAGGAAAACTCTAACGTAATGACAGGTGGAATACTCCGTTAAGTACATGACAACCCATTGAACAACCATTTATGCATTTCAAATGCTTACCGCAGAAGCAATTTTAAGTTGTTCAATTTCAATTTGATTTTACAAGGGGTAGCTCGGCAACCGAAGCCGGAGTTGAGCTTAAAAACATAATTTTTGTGCACGGGAGAATTCAGTGGATGCTTTGGGTATATTTTGTGACCTTGCCAAGGCCTTCGACTGTGTTCACCATAAGACATTAATTAGGAAGCTACAGTACTATGGTGTCAAGAACACAGCTCTTAAACTAGTTATTTCATATTTAAATAATAAAATGCAGAAAGTTGTTATCAATGGTAAAATTTCTTCTGGGTCGTCCATATAAATGGGTGTCCGTCAGGGCTCAATTCTTGGCCCAATCCTATTTTTAGTGTATATTCATTACTTACCTTCCTTATAGGGGATAATCATGATATAGTATTATTTGACGATGATACTTCCTTGAATTTTAAATTTAAACGTGAATTATTTAAATGTCGAAGAAGTGTTTTCATTGAAATCACTCTCGACGCAAAGCTTCATTGGGGCCAATTCTCGTACAATGATTTTTTATGACTTTCGATGTCATACAAGTCAACAAGAAAGTTATGATAAAGTTCGATTGGCCTTTCACGATGAAGCCCCATCTCGTGTCACTGTTTACAACTGGTTCAATGAGTTTAAACGTGGTCGCACTAATCTCACCCATGATCTGCGTGAGGGACGGCCTTCTACGGCGACGACTGATGATAACATCAGTGTTGTGCGGCATATGGTAAAGACTGACAAAAGAGTGACTTATCAGCAGATTGGTTCAAAGATTTAACGGAGGTGACTCAAATGCAGTGTTCGACATACTCACAGATGGCGAAAGCTGGATTTATTGTTATGATCCTGAAACTAAGAGACAGTCTGCTGGCTGGCTGTTTCTTTTCGAAGAGTTGATAACTAAATTGAAGAGAGGTCAAAGCGTGGAAAAAAAGACTGTGGCCTCGTTCTTCGTAGGATCCTTCTTCACCACGACAACGTCTCGTCACACATCGCCAAGTAAATAATCAACTACTTGGCGACGTCAGACGTGGAATTACTTGCAATTTTTATTTATTTCCGAAAATAAAATAAAAACTTCATGGAAAACGTTTTATGGACGCCGAGGAAGCAGTGGCTGCATCTCAAAATGCCGTAGAAGAACCTTTGCCCTTCGTCCCTTTGCCCTTAAGGGAAGAGTGGGTAAAGTGCTTTTCTCAGTGGTTCCATCGGATGCCGCGATGTATTGATGTAAATGGACACTATTTTGAAAAGATATAATAAAACTAATAACTTGCTAGTTGGTCAGTTTTTGATTTTCTAAGAACTTTTATTGTCATATTCGTATACAGGTCTAATTTTCGCACAAAAAAGCATCGAAGTATAACGAAATCCAAAAGCAGAAAGTCGATTTACTTGCCGTTATTATTTAAGAAAGGTTTAAATTATCTTAATTTAAGAAAATAAACGATTTTGTCGCTCTAGAAATTTGTTCTGCACCATGAAGACCTTTATTTATTAATTTAAATTATTACAGGCTATCAAAAGTTCACTGTTCAACATTGATTGCATCAAAAGGTGAACCTCACATTGGGGATATCGTCGCCAGGCTTGGTAGGCGGGTAATATATTTATTATAAAAATAATACAAAAAATATTATATAATAACTTAAAAAAATAAATAAATACTATAAAATGACAAACCTTGATGTACATGTGTGTGTAAAATTGAATTTTTTTAAAGTCTTTGGTATTTTCTCTCAGAACCTTGCCGTGTTAAACTGCCCCACGCTGATCATGGCCTACAAGAATGCATCAAATTCCCTTAAAATGGAACAGTACAGCGATTCGTTTGAACAGTTTGGACAAAACGTATCTGCGCTGAAGCAAGAACCACTCCTCACTTACTTGATGTATGATGTATATCGCAGTCAGGTAATCATCCATTGTATCATAAACTTATATTACATACAACCTAGACGGAACGGATGCCTAGACGAAAGTTTATCGACCGAGCGATATAATGAAGATAGGCCAGATTGAGAGTACTCTTTACCGATCAGCATGCAATCAAGCAAGTATATGGATGTAAAGGAGGCGATAGAGGTGTGTCATGATCGTGCCAAATGGAGATCCGTCGTCTCTGTTTGTCTCTGTCTGTGTGTTTGTGTCTGTATTCCTTTGGTGACAGGCCTGAGTGTTTATGATAGTGATGATTACAAATAATCCGCTCGCAGAACTTTTACCGAAGGGAGAGGACGTTGCGCATCGATCGAACTCGATCATCATAAGTAGACATACAAGGCAAGAGAGGGAGCATACTCGTCATTTATCAGCATCAATGTGTGGCGGCGCTGTCGTCGTGTCATAAGCGGAACGCACCGAAGCCTTAATCTCGCTATTAAACTCCCAAAATACTGCGGTATATACATATAAAATAGCGGTAGTAGTCACCACACAGCGTGGTGTTATATGCCGTGTTCATTTTTCATCCTTACTTAAATCTATACATATTAATAAAATTTAAGTGTTTGTTTATGTGTCTATGCTATTCACAAATCAACAAAAATGTTTAACATTATTGTCTATCTGTGTGTCCAGGCTAATCTTTGCAATGGCTGAAGCGATAGTGATGAAACTTTACGAACAGATAAAGAACACTGCCAGGAGGGCTCTTTTTTCAAGGCCGTATTTTATCTAAACAACTTGGACATTAGGAAAAACGAAAAATTGTAATTAATTCTTTTCTAGGTGAACGGATTTTGGTAAATCTTTTTTTAATATGAAAACTGGTGCTTTTCATGTGATCCCATATAAATTAAGATCAGAATAGTAGTTTTTGAGTTATCTTTAATAATGCGTATTTAATTGACTTCGAATACATTGATGATGTTCTGATTTTATTTAATTTGAAGTCCGTTAAACAACATTTTTGGTTTTACCACTTTTTTAAATTCAATTCATTTCATAACGAATGGTTTTTGTTTAAATTTGTTTTTGTTTCAATCTTTAATCTGAATAACGCCACAGGAGGAGCCGGGGTGGGTCACTAGTAAAAAATAAGAATGTTCTGAAAAAAAAAAAAACCAAATCCAGTCATTACTTACCATTCCAGCTTATATATTTATATAAATAAAATTGAAGTTGTCTGTTATATCGAAAAACTGCTTTCTTAGCTCAGGGGGGTTGTTTAAACGCCGTTAAGACATGGATAACCATTTGTAAAATTTTTGATTGTCTGCCATAATTTTCAGAATGACTGAATTGATTGCAATAAAACTAACAAACAGATAGAGAGCAATAGTGATCTGGGTTATTTTTGGGGGAAATAGAGTTTTTCTTTTGAATAACAGACAGAAGAAATGGAAAAAATCCCATCTCCTTTATCTTTAGTACCGTGTCTGATATATCAACATAATTTAAGTATTTAAAAGTAATTAATAAAAATTATACTTTAGTCGATTGAATTTTTATATAGAATACGGATGACAAGCGAGCACACAGTCCACCTGATGATGAAGTGGGCGCTGCGGCCCATAGACATATCTAGCCAACATCTACCCTTGATTAAGAATCATAATGTCGAAACTGTATACAAATCTAAATTGATAACTTTAAACAAGGGCGTTCCACAAGGCTCCATTTTGAGACGCATATTATTTATAATATCTAATAATGATTTAACTGATTACATACATATCAAACAGCAAGATATAAAGTTAACTATTGATGCGGATGATACAATCGCGATTGTATCTGCTAACTCAGTAGATGAATTAAATACTAAAATGAAAAACACATTACTTAATTTTTAAACCCTCAGGGCTAAAACTCTAATGGGTCCGGGAGTCATAGTGTCAATGCGTGTCACCAGTTTAAGGAGCTTTACGTCATAGCTTTTTTAGTCAAATAATCATAAATTTCTTAGTCAAATAATCCCATTTAAGCTATAATGCAAAAAAGATCAAGTTTTAAAACTATTAAAAATAGAACACGACGAAAACCGAAGGGTATTAGAAGTTTGTAGTGTATATCTGTGTGTTTGTGGCATCATACCTCATGACGGGATGAACCGATTTTGATAAAGGTTTTTTTCGTTTAAAAGATGTTTAATCGAGAGTGTTCTTAGCTATGTTTAAAATCTGTTTAGCCGTTTGAAGATCATCAGCTCTTTTTGTTTCTGGGGCTTTTTAAAATTTTTAATATAAGAGATATTTATATAGTGTGTAGTACTTTGTTAATACCGTGCAATGGCGGTGTAAGAAAATTTTCTACCTCATATCGTCCCGTGGATGCCCGATGAAAAACCCGCCTGCCAAGTGTGGCAAAGTCGCCCCTGTAAGGCAATCTATGGGAGACATATATTCAGCAGTGGATTAATATAGGCTGGATGCATTGATAAATTGATGAATTTATTAATAACGGTCTCAACTACGTAATTCAATAGATATTCTTTTTACAGATAAGCTTAGGTCTTCCCCTGAAATCCAAAGTACAAGAGGCTCTACCAGAAATAAAAGCAGCAGCAGGAGAAGCAATTGATGTTTTATTTGGAGACGATAACTATATTGCTTTGCAAGCTGGTAATTATTTATAACGTATCTAAAATATAACAAATTATATTTGTTTGTTCGTATTTTACGCACTGCCATACCGTTCATCAGGTTACGGTAAAACTTTGTCAACTTATTGCTTGTACTTCTGCAAATAGTGAAATTGTGGTTATAGGCATAGTACATTTATTTACACCATTAATCGCGCATGTCGTACTGACATGTTTCTTTGAAAGTTATATACTTAAATTTCAAGAGTGATGGCTGGGCAGCCGTCCAGGGGTCGCGTATTTGAAGAGATGTCAGAATCTAGAAAGCATTTTAAAGCCAAATTAAAATGGTGTCAAAACAGACAAGAACAGCTAAAGATGGATATTATTGCGATAAATCACTCTTCTAAAGACTTCAAAAGCTTCTGGAAGAACACAAACAAAATTAATGTTAAGCCGAGTCTTCCAGTGAGTGTTGGGGGTGCTTATGATCACAAGGATATTGCGGATGCATTCAGATGCAATTTTACTGTAAGGTCACCCTTAAATGTCGTCTCAGGATTGATTTGAGCGAAGTTGAGACTATTATGACAGAACGAAATGAAAAGATACCTGCAAAGAAAATAGAAAAAATAATTAAAGAGATGGTAAGAGGAAAATCGCCTGGTTATGATGGTCTCAGCATCGAACACTTCAGATATGTTGGGGTGCATCTTCCGCGAGTCCTTTCACTGTTTTACAGCCTGTGTTTGGGTCACTCTTACTTACCCGAGCAGCTGATGAGGACTATTGTAGTACCCGTTGTTAAAAATATAACTGGGGACACATCCGACATGGTCTTCAGAAACCAAGTGAGTGATCTTTAGGAACCAAGTGAGTGATCCCAGTAATGGAGAGGCTCGGGAGCGACTTCTGGTCGAGAGCCTCTTGAAACTGTCGGCGATCACAGCGTGACACACTATGAACCCCTTCAGCCAGTAATGATACAGCCCGTCGAGCTCCGGATTTTTCTAGTTCGGGGCCCTACGGACCGCCTCAGCCATGTCTTCCGGCGTTATGGTGATGGGGTCCATAGGCGTAACACTCGCACCCTGGCTCGCCACAACTTCCATCCAAGGGCCCTCGCTGTGGTTTACGGGCTCTGACCACAGGCCACGCCAGAATGCGATAATGTCAGCCTGATCCGGTCCTGGGCCCGCTCCACATACCTTTGGTCGCTCCAATGATTTATAGAGCCACTTCTGATCACTCTGGAAGAGACCATTCTGGTTGAACTGCCTTGCCCTCTCGGTAAATCGTCGAATCCGTTTCTCCCAAGCAGCGATCTTTTGCTTCACGTCGTCTATGCGCTCCGTTAGTTTCTGCGTGATATCCGGCTGGGACAAACTGATATTTGTCCCAGCAAACGCCATCCTAACGGTGCGCATAATCCTCGGTCTATTATTACCCGACCTGAAGCTTGTCAGTCTGCCGATAAGGGCCCTTGCCTTTGCGATACGGTCCTCGATTCCTTTTCTCCAAGGCTGGGTTGGCGCTACTTTGTGTAGTAGCGCGTCCAGCCATAGGAAGTTTGGCGCCAATAATACTGCAAACTGCCACTGCGGCGCCAAAAAGAATTGAGTCCGTCTCGCAAAGGTCCCGGCTGGCTTCCAAATAGGTCACCAGCATTGGGTTAAGAGCCCTCACGACAGTATAGGGGTATGCGGGGAAGTCGCGGTCTATTTTCGAGAGGGGTGCTGCGCGTTTCCAAAATCGCCTCATTGCTGAGCTGCAGCCGTCTATTCCCGTCACGGAACCTGGCAGACCGAGTTCGGTACATCATGCGCTCGAAAATATTTGATGATGCCGAACTCGAACGACTACGACGTGAGGCTATTCCATCATCGAATGAATCGGCTATCACTGAGGATGCAGCTCCACATGCGACAGACCAGCATCCACACGTGCAGCATTAATATTATTATTATTATAACTTATCATTCAACTTAAATGACTGTAATATCATTCCTATTTAAACAATATAACAGTTTCAAATTTAAAACGATATCGCCACAATTACTTTTTATACGACAGCAACGCGCTTAGTACCAGCTAGTAATATGTAATAATGACCGTGTAGTGGCGGTGTAGGAAAATCCACTATCTCATATCATTTCGTGGGTGTCGTCAGAAGCGTCAGAGGAAAACTGAAACAGTAGGTTTACGTGGTAGCATCCACTTACCATCAGGTGGACTGTGTGCTCCTCTGTCACACTTATTCTACAAAAAGAAAACAGGAGATGAGCAGCAGTATTTTCTGAAAACTCAAAATGATAAAAAACTGCAGTTTATAAAACGGCAGTATAACTCTTCGAGGCAACCTATGAGGGGGGAGGGGCTATGTTCAGCTGTGGACCTTTATGTCACGGTCACCCGTGTAAGATTTGTTTAAGATTATGATAATCATTTTATTACGTGGTAGAGCTATGCTGCAGTTATATTAGTAGTATAGTTGTAGCACGAATGGGTCGGCTCGGCCGGGGAAGGACCACGCTCTCACAGAATACCAGCGTGAAATAGTAGCTTAATGCTGCTGTGTTTCTTATGGTGAGTGTAGTGAACCAGAGACCCTTTTTACTAGAAACGGGGTATTCCATCTTAGTCCTCACGGATGACAACGCATCTGCATTTTGATTCGTAATCGAGGATAGATGTAGATATCAATTGGCCACAGCAACCACTTACCATCAGGTGGACCGTGTGCTCATTTGTCATCCTATCCTACATATATGACGGTAGTCGAAATTCCAGAGTAAAATATAGAGACACAACAAAGTTATCGATGCCAAGTTGTAGAACTAAGTTATGCCAAAAGAACTGCTACATGATGGCCATTAAGGTTTGTAATAAGCACCCGAAAAGGCTGCCTATCAGACAGTTGCAAATAAAACCGTACAAACTATTGCAAATATCCCCCTCCCTATGACAATCTATGGTGGAAGCCTATGTTCAGCAGTGGACTTAGTGTTTCTTGTATGGAAATTTATAAAATATATGGTCTTTGATGATAATCCTAAGTTTAATAACGCCACAATAATAGATGTTACCCAGGCAAAACCGGGGCGGGTTGCTAGCTTACTATAAGTTTTTAATAGCCGATCAAAAAATTACAGGTCCATTCCTCAAGGAATTTTTCGATCAGACCTCAATGGTCTTAGCTGGAAATGAAACTCAGAGGCTAAGGATCTACTCAGCTCACGACGTTAGCGTCTATTCCTGGATGGCAGTGTCTCGAGTGAGACCGAAACAAGGAGTGCCACCGTACAATGCAGTTTTCGCTCTGGAATTAAGGAGAGTGGTTAAAACTGGGCAATTTGTTGTTTTGGTATGCACTAATTTTCGAAAAAAAATTTTTTGTTAATTTTTTTACAGAATATAGAGTTTCGTAAAAGTGTAATAGCGGTTGCCGTGAAGAGACGGTGTAAGAATATCAACCACCCCATATCTTCTCGTGAGTGTCGTAAGCAGCGAGAGAGGGAAACTAAGACGGGATATGAGCAGGAGCATCTTTCTAATTACATCAAAACTACAATAAGAAAATTGCGGTTGCCAATCCGCTTGCCAGGCGTGGCAACTATGACAAACATCCTCGCATGAGCAATGGCATAAAAAACGGGCCCCAGTCCCTGGCGGCCCCGCTATTCCTAGCTATGGCGGCGACCAAGGTAACGGTAGGCCAGAGGCGTTAAAAATCTTCGGCGAAGGTTCAGTTGCCACCTGTGACGAGTCATGATCAACACGCACCCTGAGAACTGACGAAAAGATTCTGGAGTTGGAAGAAGAGATGGACAGGTTGCACTGGGTTATTATAGGATTATATGAGGTCCGAAGAGAGGGAGGGAACAGGGTAATCCTTGAATCCGGCAACTTGTTCTATTACTGAGAGGGCGACCATCTGTCCCAAGGAGGTATCGGATTTATCGTCCACAAGGATCTCGTTAACAACGTTACTAAAATTGGGAGCGTGTCGATAATGGGTGCGTACCTTATACTCAGAATCACCGAGCAGTATTCGTTGAAGGTCATAAGGGCTTACGCACCAACCTCGGCACATCCCGATGAAGAGGTGAAAGAAATGTATGAGGATATCTCTAGAACCATGCATTCCTCCAAATGTAACGCAATCTATGTGGGAGGCCTATATTCAGCAGTGGACTTTATTAGGCTGTTTTTTTTTTATAGAAGAAGGGGCAAACGAGCATGCGGCTCACCTGATGTTAAGTGACTACCGCCGCCCATGATCAACCGCAACACCAGGAGAATTGCGGGTGCGTTGCCGGCCCTTTAAAAAGGAGTCTAAAGCTCTTTTCTTGAAGACGTTCCCCAGGTCGTATCGGTCCGGAAAAATCGCCGGTGGTAAACTATTCCACAGAGAGGTTGTACGTGGAAGAAAACTCCTTGTGAAACGTACAGTCGGTACACAGTACAGTAACGCCAACGCATCCAGATGGTGTGGATGGTATCGGGACGTTTGACGTGTAGTGCGTTCACGAAATTGTGGCGAAGCTGGGATTAATCCGAACAATTCCTCAGAGCACTCCCCGTGATAGATGCGATAAAATACGCAAAGAGATGCAACATCTCTTCGCAGCGCCAGTGAATCGAGCCGATCGGATTCAAGCACTCGGTGGGCAGCGTCGCACGATTCGAGCCGCTCTGCGCTGGATGCGGTCAAGTGGAAGGAGCTGGTACTGGGGAGCCCCAGCCCAGAGATGGGAACAGTATTCCATGTGCGGCCAAACCTGCGTAAGTAAACGACAGAGTAAACGACAAAGCTCAACGGATTAGTAAGAAGTGACAATCGATGGGAAAAAAGGTTCTACAGTGACAGCCTCGTGCCGGTAGACGAAGTGTGCTGCGTAGGGCGGCCCTTTACTAACATGGGAATGACGACCTGGTAAGACATGCAGAAAGTCGAGGGATGAATGTGACTTAGAGCCGTGCTTAATGGCATTGCTTGGTGGAGGCCTGTGTTCAGAAGTGCACTTGTGAAGGGCTGCAATAAAAAATAACATTATAACGTAATCTGAAAGTTACAACAAGAATTTTGTCTAAACAATTACATTAACAACCAACGAGAGGAAGAATAAATAAAGCATCACATCAGACGGAAAAGAGAGACAGCAACTTAAGTATTTCTTAATTTGACGTTAAGCTTTATGCGGTGGTTTATAGGTATATACATATTAATTAATGAGTACTTAGTTCATACTAGTGTTTTAGAATTTATCATAAGTATGATAGTAACATTTGCGGGTAGAACAACTATTTAGTTGAAGGCACCAGAAACTTGTAGACGTTCCTTGGCTTCATTTAGTAGGTAGTGGAAACCTTTTCTGCCTTAGATTCCGTCTAGGCAGGTACCGCCCTTTATCTAGCAGTAAGTAGCAGTACCCGTATGCGTACCGCTGTGTTCCGGTCTGAAGGGCATAGAGAGCTATGATAATAACAGGCGGTGAGACATTTAATCTTAGTCTTCACAGGAGACAAGGCAACTTAAGTTGAACCTTCTATATTTGAAGTTGGTTGTAAGTATCCATGGACTGCAGTAGCCACATACTTACCGTCAGGTGGATTGTTAATTCATTTTCTGACTTCATTTTTATTAAAAAAAAACTTAGATAATTAGTTACTTCTTTTTTATATAGAATAAGGGTGACAAAGGAGCACACGGTCCGCCTGATGCTAAGTGGATGCTGTGGCCCATAGACATCTAAATTTATCCTCGACTAAGAATCAAAATGTGGATATGATGTCACCACTGATGACTTAGATGGAATGCCTCGTTTTCAAAAAAAAAAGGTCTCCGGTTTCTCTAGACTGATCATATGAAACACAGCAGTATTAAGCTGTTATTTTACGTCTGTATTCTGAGAGAGCGTGGTCCTACTTCCGTCGAGCATTCGTGTTACAACTATAATGCTTCAGCGTGGCTCTTACCACGCACTTCTACAAATGTGAATTTCAATTTGCAGCCAGTATACGTCAGTTCACCAGGAGAACCGATAAAATACTTACAAGTAGAAGATTGCTGTTCAGACCTGTGTGATATATGCACGTTTAGAGAACTCACTGCACCTTATATGCTCGACGTGAAGGAATGGAGAATAAAGTGTGATTTTGACGAAGATATGGAAGTTGATGAATCGAATATATAAACAATAAATTGTAAATAAACAATAAATGTTCTGCTGGAGCCTCGATAGATGCACAAATAAAAGAAAGTTATGTGTCTTATTTTAATTATTAGTAACTATTGTAAAATTGATATATTACGTCGTTGCTGTTTGTATGTCTGTAACAAGTAAAAACATGATTTAAAAAATACAATAAATTGCTAAAATTAAACTTCGCAAAATTATATAGATCTGTCACAATGATTTAAATTAAAAAAAAATACTTATTTTAAACAAATTTATTTTTAGTCACCTTTAGATTAATTTGCTAATCGATGTGTGCTCGATCTTAAGCTTAATGAATAAAAGAAGTATGTAGTAAGTATGTCTGAGAACTTATACCTGTCAGAGGAACCTTAGATTCAAGCGGAATAAAAAATAATGTTTGACAAACGAACAAGCGAACGAAAAATAAAGAGTTTTCTTTTTAATTGCTATTCCATAACCTTTAGATCTAGCGCGCCTAAAGTCGTATTTTTATTTAAACAAAGCTGCCTGAAGTTTACTGGGTTGTCAGGTTTTGATAAATCAAAAATAGTATTGTGACTAAATGAATGAACGGAAAACAAAATGACTGACTGATAAAGAAAACGACTGAATGGTAAATTTTTTTTAACTAATGATTTTGAAAATTACGTCAAGATTTATTTAAGGTATCCATGTTGTCAGTTCATCAGGCGAATATTATCCGTAGTGTATGTCGTCATAGGGATTTCATTAAAAAAAAAAAACTATGCTTAAGTAATACTTTTTTTTATATATTATCGTCATTAGATATAAAATCATCACTGTCACTGTCAGTAACATTTATTATAAACTTGAGACACTATCGATCATGTGGTCGAGATTAAATATTTTATCTACTTCTTTTATTATGTGAGCCATGCAGCTACTTTTTCGGCAGTTACTTCATTTAGTCTTTCTTCGAAAAGTTTTTTTACATATTTTATTTCGAAGTTCTTGCAGTTTCTGGCAACATACCCTTTGGCCTACGCCAAAATCAGCTCAATGGGATTGAGCTCACAATGGTAAGGGGGCAAACGTAAAACAGTAACTCCACGCTCCGCTGCCATCTCGTCCACAGCATACCTTCGCAGTGTTTATTTTTGTGCTGCCGTATAATGTCTATAAGAGTAGCTTTTACAATTTGTACCTCGAATTAGATATTTTTGCTCGCCATCCACTCTTGTATTCTTGGTTTATTCCAGGACATTGTAGGCAACCCGTGGTCTCTTCCTTTGTGGGAAAAAAAAGCTTTTGTTCAACGTGCTTGGTTGAAGTTCCATATCGTTTGTACGAAACAATATAAAAACACAATAACTCAACAATAACAAACAACACAAACACAACGTAACAAAAAACTTAACAAGAAACTAAAGAAAAACAACAGGAGAACAGCGCGCAGAGAAAATATTCGAGCGATCAGACCAGAGGTTAGAAGCCGAATGAATGACAAGACAAATGACACACAAAATGGCGACCGACACGGCGGGCGCAGGGTGCGTTCCGAAAGTCAGAGCGCCCCCTCGAGTCACAATAGTATTAAATTACTATTGTTACTAACAATATTTTTTCTGTTTATTTCAATGATATAATATTCGTCAACAAGTTTCACAATGTCAATCAAGATAGGTTAATTTAATTGTTGTCATAATCATCAAGTCGTCGTGTACTAACTGACTGACTGAACGCATCACTATTAAAATGAACCTGGCTACATTATTTCACAAAGTGACATCAGCATCGTCAGGCAGCTTCGTTTAATTAAAAATACGACTTTAGGGTACTCTACAGCGATAGACCTTAATTAACTCTATAGTACTATAACAATTCTCTTATACAGAGATCTATTTCAAAAGTGGACTGTAAATTTTACCAATCATCCATCCATAAAAGTGATACAGTCTATAAAAGCCCACTGCTGAACATAGGCCTCTCCTTAGATGGCCTTATAAGTGGGTATTTCCCCATAGATCACACGCTTGGCAGGCGGAATGATTACCGCAGTTTTTTTGCTTTTTAGTTGCTATTAGGAAGTCGCTGCTGCCCATTTTCTGGTTAGTTTTCCTCCGTTGCTTCTTACGACCCATGGGTCGATATGGGATAGCGGATATGCTTACATCGCCAGTGCACGGTCTCATTTCACATTCAATCATTATTTATTATTTGCATTTATACTTTTTGTTGCACATATATTGCAATAATATAAAACACATTAAATTAAAAAAAAGATATTATTATTAAACATATATTATTATTATGTTGGGATAATAAAAGAGTATTCACATCTGATTGGTCTGAATAAATATTTAAAAGGAAATGATAAATAAACATAAATATACATGTGGGACGGAACGTAAAGGAATAAAGCGACAGAATGAATGTATGATAAAGATAGCAAGATGAGTATGAAAGTGAGTGAAAGAGCAAGGGTTTAAAATGAGTGAACAATGAGCGAGTGACTGAATGAGAAGTAAGAATGAGGGGAAGCTAGATTTTAAAAAATAACACTAGCAAACGGGAAGCCATTGTGACAACCGATATAGCTGTGAAGAAAAAGAAATTAAAAACGTCAAGTCAAACACCAAGCTGTGTTTTATTTTAACAAAATCCACATAGATGTCAAAATTTTGCGATTAGTTTGAAAAATCGAAATCATTTTTGTGCGACAAAAGAGAGGTCGCAAACCCGCCCGACAAGCGTAGCAAGAGAAGCAAATATTCCTTCTATAGCACAATCTATGGGGGAAACCTATGTTCATGAATTTTTGGTAGGCGGTACTGCAGATAATATTATAAATTTTTCTTCCTTTTAGATTCTTTACTTAAAAATATAGAATTAGAATATAAAACTATTTTTTCTTTATATTTTTATATTTTTTATATTTTTTCCATATAAAAATAAATTCAATCCTTACTTATGCTCGTTCAGAAATTTTTATTTTAATTTTTTGAGGAATTATAAGAAGTTTTTCAAGCAAGAATTTTTTGAGAGAACTATGAGGGAAAAAGTCAATATATTCCACGAGTGAAATAGCATGCAGAGTTGTTCTATCCCAATCCTGTGTTATGGTCACGTTGCAGAGGTACCATGGCATAGATAATTTAACTGACTGAGCCCCCAGCACTCGCCCAACTGTTTTGAATGCTGCTTAGAAGAGCTATATCTCATTGCTGGCAGCCCGTGACCCAGCAATCAACACCCCTACAATAAATCAAAAGTGCGGACCATCTCTGGACTTGACGTAACGCTCAGACCATTCGGAATTGCTTATACCAGGCTGTACACGGAGGTATTAGCGAGCACCTCTGAATTGACGGCAACGTCAGCGACGGAGATTTTAGTGTGCTAGACTCCGGAAAAATGAGGAAGATGAGGAGGAAAACATTTTACACCCTAGTAGCAAGGACTGTGCCTGAAAAATTCTAGTGTGAATGGGTAGTGAATTACACAAACGTCGTATAAATGCTGGCAAACATCTTTCTACTGGACTTCTTAATATGCAGGGATGAGGAAAGATTCTGATAATGTTAGGTCTTTTACAGATTTACTAAAAGGTATCAACAACACCATCAACAATAAGTGGAAGGGTATTCCAATTAATTCATGAGATTGCATGTCTGTAAAAATATAAATTAAAAAAATGAGTCAGGATGGGAAGAATAATAACAATCAGGAGGACGATTAAGTCAACAAGAACTTTTTCTTAACATCACAGTCGGAAAATTGATTGGAGGTGGATGGCGAGAAATTAGGAGTTGCTGCTAATCCGATATGACCGAAGAGTGATCAGGCGCATAACCAATGGTTTGACTTGCTTTCCTAGGCACGGGAGCAGAATACCGCCAACTTCTGATTAACACCGGGCTGCTACTAAGAATGTTTTGAGAGAAAAACCCAACCCAGGAATTGAACCCAGTAGTCGGTAGTGATGTGTTCCTAACTCACGAGTTACCTCGTTTGAAGTCTTCGTGACAGTAAATTGAAAGAGGTACTCGAATTCGAACATTGAATCACCTCTCACTCACTCGTTCACGACGTTAAGACTGACCGAATCGCGTCGTGAGTGAGTGAGCGAACGACTCGATTAAAAATAGTACAACTAGATATTGAGACCTATGTATTTTCCAGCAATATCTAAACGAGTGAGGTGTCAATATTAAGAAAAAAGATTAATCAATATGAAACAATTAAATCACGTATTGGGGGTGAAAATGAAATCATGCGCACTTTTATTATTACCCAATTTTGCATTAATTGGCCATCCACCAGTGATCTCAGATTTTATTTGCGTCCACTCATATCACATATCGTTGGCTAAGAGTGTAAACCTGCTAACTCACTCTAACCCAAATTTACAGGAGAAGAATAAAACTTAATAAATTGGAATTTTACAATTTTAGATTAAAACCAAAAAAACGGTTGGTGTATTTTTGGATACTGTACATAAATAGAAAGTTATAAAATAGAAAATTTTGATTGTTAATAAGTTATAAGTGTTTTTATGACTTAGCAAGTTTTTTTTGGTAGCAAAAGTTTTATTTTGTGGACATAGGAGGTTTTTTCAAGATTTCAAGGATATGTACCTAACATAACTTTAATTGTTTCGTTAATCAGTCTATTTATTTCTTATTAATCATCATTCGTCACATTTACATATTTAGCTAATATTTCAATCATTCTTATAATCAAAAATCTTTGTAAAACAAAAAATGGAACAAAAGAACTTAAATATCTGAAATTCTATTTTCATAAAATTATATACGAAATAAAAAAAAACTAAATATTATTCTTCTTTTTCTTAGTACTTTACTCATTATTATCGGGTGTTTTTTTTATTCATTTTCATATATTTTATTAGTTGTGGTTAAATCAAATGGTTATAAAAAACTGGGTGAGTTTGGCAGTAAAAAGCGCTAGCAAGCGCTTGTAAGCAAAATGGCGATCGTAAGCGGTAAGCGCTGTCAAATCCTAAGTAGCTA